GCAAGCTGCCCTGGTGTGAGACCTGTGTCCCTGAAGATGCTTTGACATGCCACAGAGACATCTGCTGTTGTTGGCCCCAAAGGGGCGGAAGCATCAAGTGTCTGCCATTTTCTTAGGACAGGAGATTTTAACCCTGGGCACAGAGTTGTACAAGGGACTAAGAAAAGCCTCCCTGAGTCTCTTCGAACTCGAAAAGAATTTTATTTCAACCAGCGTATGGCCAAGAACAGCATAACAAAATCCCAATGAGCATGCCCATCTTAAACTGCGAAGCCCTCAGAAGAAACTGACTGCCGTAGACGTGTGTGTTTATCTTGATGGGTTCATGAAGAGGGGAGTGCGCTGATTGTGGATTTGCTCAATTAAAGTCATAGTGGTAAGCATACAGTGTCGTTTAGGATCAGCACCAGAGATGAGCCTGGTGATTCCTGGCATCTTTTGAAGCTCAGTCAGTGCCCCGAGTTTATGTATGTATAGATACATGTTTCAGTAGCTCTGGAACAGGGCCCAGAAGTCAGTACTCAGATCCATCCTCAAGTTGTCTTAATGACCAGCCACACTGACACGTGTACGTACACACACGCATTAGCACAGTTACGAAGTAGAAACAGCCTATTGATTGGCTCGCTCAGTGCTTCTGAACCATTGGTGTTTACAGATCTGCCTCATTAAGAAGACACCGGCATTCTACAGCTAAGCAGTGCTTTGTACAAGCCATTAGGCACAGCTGCTTAAGAGAGCTGATTTTATTTATTCATACGTTATACAATCACACTCACGAATATAATAAACAGCATGTAAATTCATGCTAATAAGACAAATGTTTTCCCACAGTCTACAGACAAAATTAATTTGAGCCACATCAGCCACCTTCGGACCCTGACTATGGTGTCCCATCCATGATCAGCTTAGCAGTGATTCATAAATAGAGCAGTTTTTGGAATTTTGCATTTCTAGCTTCTGCACAAATGGTGCGCTTTGAAAAGTGGAGGGCCTACGATGAGCATCCAACATGAAAGTGACAGCTGTCACCTACTGCAAAGTGTGTAGCACTCCTAGATGATAAAGTTGACCCTGCTGCAAATGCTGCTTGTCTTATGAGGTCACTGCTGGCACCCCAGCTCTGTCTCTCAGATGAAGCCTGTGACCTGTATACAGGATCGAGTAGGGATGGCAAGGAGTCCTACGGATGGACCCCACAAGGCATTTGCTGCTCCTCAAACCAGCAGACTCAGTGTACAGCCCATGTCTCACTTGGGCGTTTTCGCTGATACATACGTGGTAGACTCCTCAGCCCTTCACCTAGAGTCACATGCCACCTTCCCAGTGACGCCTGTGCCCCAGCATGCTCTGGGCTGCCTCTTCTGTCTAACAAGTCTTAACTCGCTTATCTTTTTTGTCAATACCTGTTTCCTCTTCTAGGCTATAAGCAGCTCGAGGGTGGGTGTCTTTGTTGTTTCTTGTGCATCGCAAGTGGACACAGTAGCATGTAGGATGTAATGGGCTCCTAGCAAATAAACAGGTCAGATCATATGCGTATGACCCACAGTACTGCTGGCTGTCTACCGCTGCTCTCTCGGGCAGCCGTTGGTACCCAGCGTTAAAGCATCCCACACACTTGTGTGGTCTTACACAAGTAGGGGCAGCGGACGGGGCGTGCACCATCCTGTACTGTCTGACCTGCATTTCTGAATTATCTCATCTGACCTGACGGCGTCTTTGTTGCATTCAGTGGGAGCAGATACTCGAACTCCACTTTACCAACGAAGAGATGAGGTGCAGCTATCAGGAAGCGCTGTGTTCAGCTCTACAGCCGTTCGTGGGCAGGAGTGAGAGCCCAGCCTCCATCCAAACTGTAGTTCATAGTAGTTAACACTGCCCCACGTTAGTGTCTTCAGAGAGGAAAAATCCATCCCCATCTGGTACTTGGAAATACACACTTTTGTTTTTGTTTGTCAGGGTTCTTGTCCAGGTTATTACTCTACATTTCTCTAGCATCTTTAACGCGCCAATGGTTGGAAAGACCACGGACAGTTCCGTTATTAGAGGTAGATTCTCTGGTACTGACTGAATTTTCACCCCCCATTACTGTGTGTACCCGTAACCCTTGGATTCTACTGTATGTGGACCTGTATTTGCAGTGTTCTGTCTGCCCTTAGAGGATCAGGCTGTAGAGTAGCCCAGGTACTCGGCTGTCAGCCTGGTCAAGGAGAAGCGAGGCACTGGTTGTAGGTTGGCCCCCCGGGTCTCTCGTGACTTTGAACCTCCAGACTGAAGAGCACATGCATCAGCCAACTGCTAATAACTTGGTGTGTTTGCAAGGCTTGAAAATCCACATATCCCATTAGATCCTGTACTGCTCAACTAGAAGTGTGTCTCAAGTGTAAAGTGTGGTATAGCATTGTGTCTGAGCTTTGAAACCTTCCTTAAGATGGTTTTCTCTTATCTGACAACAGAGTGCTTTGTTGGTCTATCTGTAGTCGTTACTTCACTGTGTGACTGAGGATGGCCTTGAACCCCTTACCTTCCTGCTCCACCTGTGTTTTCTCCAGCCCAGCATTAGAAAGTACCATTTTATTTCATTTTTTTATATTATTATTATTTTTCTTATTTTACATAACAATCCAAGTTCCCTCCCTCTCCGCATTCCTCCCCTCTCCCACTCCACAGGTGAGGCCTTCCAGGAGGGGTCATCTAAACCTGTCTAGTCATTTGGAGTAGGGGCTAGGCTCTCCCTCCTGCCTCTAGGCTAAGGGAGTGTCCCTCCATGGGGAATGTGCTCCCGAAGTCCTTTTGCGCACCAGGAATACATCCTGGCTCCACTGTCTGAGGTCCTTAGACTGCCCAGGCCTCCTAACTGAGACCCGTGTTCACGGGGTCGGAGTCAGTCCCATGCTGGCTTCCCAGCTGTCAGTCTGGAGGCCGTCAGCTCCCCTTGTTCAGGTCAGCTGTGTCTGGGTTTCTGCAGCCTGGTCTTTCCCCGTTTTCTTATCACTCCTCCCTCTGAAAGTTCTATGTTAGCACTTGCAGCCAATGGGCTGGTTAGGTGTTAGCTTCAGCAGCAAAGTTTCCTTGTTAGCATTTCTAAGTTGCTTCATTAACAAGAAGGGCCAGGCCTTTAATCCTAGCACAAGGGAGGCAGAGGCAGGTGGATCTCTGTGAGTTCGAGACCAGCCTGGTTTACAGAGCGAGTTCCAGGACAGCCAAGACTATACAGAGAAACCCTGCCTCACAAACAAAAAACAGACGTAAAAATAAGCAAGAAGGAACAGGTCATGCAGTTTCGCCCTTGCGGGTAGAACAGATTAGAAGCTGGCGTCCTGACGTGGTCCTGACTGTCCACCCACAGCCAGGCTGCTCGGAACCCGGGTAAGAGCGGGTGTGGAAAGGACCTGGTGGGTGGCTCTCTGTACTGAAGCTGAGTTGTCACTGCCACCTCGCAGAGGCCGCAGGGGCAGCACCAGGGTCCTCCAGGCACCATGATGCACATCAGGACCCTCCCGTCAGCGCCTCCCCAGAGCTGAGCTTAGAAGCCTGAGCAGCTGTGTCTGGCTCTTTTGGGGGGGGGGGGAGAGTCTCCTCCTGGCTACATTGCGGCTCTTAATTCTGTCAAGCAAGCACCCTAGCGCCTGAGCTGTGGCCCCAGCCTCCTGTCCCACAGGGCGGGGCTGGCTGTGCTGGCCTCCAGCCCGTCTCCTTGGCCCCGGGACTGTGCTGGGAGCATCACACCCGGTGCACGCACTTGCTTCCCACTCGCTCTTGCATTTTGCTGCCCTCCCTTCAGGCATTGGCTCCATCTGTTGCCAGAGGGAAACATGGGTGTGTGCTGGGGATGGATATACTTGTATACTTGGCTTACGGTAAATAGCGAGAGCCATCCTGACAGAGCAGTGACGCCGCGCAGATGTCATGTGGGGGACCTACCCATAATTCCATTTCCTAAATGTGCCTCAGAGGCGTCTCTTCCGGAAGGTTAGCTGACTTTAGTCAGATTGGATAAGCCTTCCGTACAGTCTTGTCAAACATACACACACAAATTCACACTAAAATCACAGGGAAAAAAAAATTTTTTTTTTTTTTTAAAGGCTTTTAAAATGGAAGCCTGGGAGTGGTGGTGGTGCCTTTAATCTCAGCGCTTAGGAGGAGTGGCCAGCCTGACCTATGCAGAGTTCCAGGCCAGCCTGGGCTACATAGAGAGACTCTGTCTCAAAAATCAAAATGGAAACTTGGAACCAGCATAGTACACAAACCTGGGCGGCACTGGGTGACTTTGTCCCCTGGCAGGTTTCACGTCCTGTTCCGCATGGAGCACCCACTGTAAGAAGGGTTGTTGGGTGCTGGTGTGACTCGGGACCTCTGTCTCTCCATTCTCCCCCCATCGCTTGTTTGTTTCGGGGTTCTAGGTCACAAGAAAATGAAAAGAGACAGCATCTCGTAAGGCTAATAACTACAAGTTTTAATCCTTAACACACTAGAGAAAAAGTTTAACGTCTTTCTGCCGGCTGATGCCCTATAAAGTAGAGTGGGTTTCTTTCTGATGCTTCCCATCTTGATGAATCCTCTTAGAGTTTCAGCTTTCATTTTCTTTGTTGTGTTCAGCGGCTACTTAGAACATGGTTTGTTTTTGTGTTCTTACGGAATACAGTAAAATGCTGCCAATAATGTCAGCCGTAAAGTTCGTACTTGCATGATTGTCTGGAGCTCTGAGGGAGCGTCTGGTGGAACAGATAGCATTTAAACTGAGACGTCAGTCCAAGATTCTGAGACTATCTGGAAAGGGTACATAATTGATTTTTAAGGATACATAATTGATTAATTGAAAACATCATTTGAAAAGCCCATTTATGATCCCCTCTGAGAGCAGCCTCAGGTGGACGCCAAGACAGCTGGTGCATGCCGTTTTTCACGTGGCTAGAGAGACCATTTATACCGCACTATGGCAAGGCGAGAAAACCTGTTATACCCGCTTGCTAACTGCTGCAATCCGTGTTCTCTTTCAGGTATGAGAAAGTGCCAGTCATCCTGGTCGGGAACAAAGTGGACCTGGAGAGTGAGAGAGAAGTGTCCTCCAGTGAAGGGCGGGCCTTGGCCGAAGACTGGGGCTGCCCCTTTATGGAGACCTCTGCTAAGAGTAAAACAATGGTGGATGAACTCTTTGCTGAAATTGTGAGGCAGATGAACTATGCAGCTCAGCCTGACAAAGATGACCCCTGCTGCTCTGCCTGTAACATACAATAGCACCCGAACACGGCTGTCCTGGACGGGACTGGTCTAGGCTTGTAGGCAACCTCACCTTGTCTACTCCGCTGAGGTTGGTAGGGTGGGTGGTGCGCATCCGCACTGAGTGCACCACAACCCTCGGGCTTCATGGCCCGCGATGCCTCTGAGCCCCCGTGGGTCCGTGACCACAGCCTCCACCGTTGTCCTCCTCGGGTCTCCCATGCGTCTGCAGCCTGAAGCCACCACCCCACCATGGAGCTACAGGGTGACCTCATTTGACGTGACAATGGTATGGCCACTGAGTTAACAGAAGCCACTGCTGTGTAGGTTAAATTTAAAATAACCGTGAGAGAAAAACCAGAAGAATTCCTATGACCACTAACAAAATATTTTGTCTTCTTTAATAAAAAAAAAAAAAAAAGTAAAGGAGAAATATTTTCCTACAAGAGTATTGAAGTCAGGAAGCGATGGACCTTCTAGCCGGTGGATTCCACCAAGTAACACACTGCCCGCCAGCAGCATGGCCGGGAGATGGCTCAGCTGACACATTTCTGTTCTTCAAATCGTTGCTTAATTGTAGGTGTTTTCCCAATTTGTGACATGAAATTCACTCACCTATCAATCCCCAGTGGAGAAAAAGTCAGAACAAGGTTGTATGAAAATCCAGTCTGGCTTTAGAATTTGTTGAGTCACCTGCTTTGCCGTGAGAGTTGGAAGCGCACACTCACCCTCTCTCTCTCTGAACGGAGCAGGGATGGTCTTTCTTTACTGATCGAGAAGGAAGCAACTGAGGCTGAGTGGTTGCCTAGCCTTACTAACGAGCATTGCTGTCAACTAGCCAGTACCACCGCGGAAGGAAAATGAAGCCATGCTACATCCTCAATCCTCGCGTCCCCGCGTGCAGACACCTCACAGGACAGTTCCAATAGTTGACATTCTTTGCGTGTGTTCATGAAAGCAGCCTTTAAGGGCTATGGTTGCGATGTGACCCTTGGCTCACCTGCTTTGGAAATAGTTTGCTGTAACAGAGCTTTATTGTACGCATAAAACAAAACAGAAACAGATTGAGTAACCTGTGACGTAATCTGGGTTTTAAAGTAGAATATAAATTATTACAGAGTGGAAGAGAAGAGCCACAAAAATCTTTCTCCTCCTCCTCTGGAGAATCATGGAAGGGTTTCTTGTACCTATTCTGCCCTGGTTACCGAGATGGCCCATACTGCTAGACTGAGTCTTTGTTTTTAACGGGTGCTTAAGCTCGGCATTCTTGGTTTCCACAGCCGTGAAGTGTTTATCATTTGCATGAGTAATGGCACAGGAAAAGAATCTATTCAGGAGTTTCCCGTCAAGTGTAGAAGGGTTCTCACCTCACTTCAGAGATAAATGCTGGCCAGTGCCTTGAGCCGCCTCTGGAGCTGAGTTAGCCCTCCGGGAATCGGTGCCTCTGAGCCCGGGCACACTTGGCATCCCGCACCTTCCTGGCTCCACAGTCCTGTGCAAGTAACCGCTTAGTCTTATGTGTGTAACTGAGAGAAGAGTGTGTGTTTGTGTGTGCATGTGTGTTTACTCCTAAGAATTTGGCACAATTCAGAGATCATTGCCTCTACTGAGAATCTATACTGCAGAACACAATGTATAAGAAAACTTTTTTTTTAAATGATCAGTCTCTTTATAAGCCATTGAAATCTCCCCAAGTGTTTTTTAGTAACTAGCTTTAAACTTAGAAGATAGAAAAAAAAAAAAAGTCAGTGGTGTCTGTCATGTGTGAGAAAAATAAATGGTGTGGGTGAAGCCAGGCCCAAGTCTGCCCTGTTTGGGCTTCGGCATCACTTTAAGTTAGCAGGCCCTGCATTCACTCACAGGACAGACACTTCTAGCCAGTAATCGTGGAATACCAAGAAATGAGATCCAAGAGGTCTGTTTTATCTACCGAGACAGAGACGCCAGTGCACTGACTTCTGAGGCTCTAACTTGGGAGACGACTTCTGACTTTTAAACTCCCATAGGGAACTGCAGTCTATGATACTGCATATTTGAAGCAGCTGTGCAGATTCCACAGTTTCCCATCATCTGTGAGAAGGCTGTCGAGGCGTGAAGCGCGAGTCATGCATTCAGGCGGGCTTTTCCTCGGAGGTGTTCCTCAGCCCAGGGTTTGCACCCATCCTTTGTAGTGCCCAAGCATCACTTCCCCAGAACAACCTGCCACGCCCTCCCCCTCTGGTGTGAATCTATCTGACTTCTGTGCATGATGTTTTTGCCAAGATGGGAATAAAAAAAAACCCACGGACAGGAACACGACATTTACCGGCACCTGAAATTACGGGTTATAGGGGAGAGCTAGTGACTTTGCTTGCTGTTTCTTTAAAGCCCCATCTGACTAGCAACTAGATAAATGAAACTTTGTTCTAACATGCCTTAAAAATATTATGGTTTGACCCAAAGACCCACTTTTTCCTTAGCTACTGTCAAGTTTCCTCTGCTTTGTCTTTTACTTTTACCGAAGGGCAGATTTTTTTTTTTTTTTTTAAGGTTTGTTTCTTTTAAGGTGTAACTTGTGGGTTCTTTTATGCTGTGGTAGTGATGGTAACCGATGCCTTCCCACCGTTGAGCTCTTCCACGAGACACGCCAGCGTGCGCTGGGAAGCCTTCCGGGTCTTTCCTTCTCCACTGAAAGGTGCTCTGATGCTCATACCCTTTGCTTTGTGGAATTGGGATTTGGCTGGGTCACCACACTCTGTACTGAAACTACTGATGCTTACTTTTCCGTGTTGCCCAGGGGTGCCCGCTGCGTGCTTTCCAGTGTGAGTGTTGCTGGCTTTGAGTGTGAAGCTGCTTTGTCTGATGCTCTCGGGTCTAGTTTCTCAGTTCTCCATCAGTAGCCCTCCCCAGCCCCGTTAGCACTGGTGAAGCTTTAATTGTCTCCTCAGCCAATGAGATGTTAGAGACTGGGGGTCCTTCTGTGTAAGTTGTCATTGTGCATCTGTTTAACCTCCATCAGGGTTTCTAGAATGGCTGCAGTAGACGTTGAACAGACTTTCCATTATGGATTCGGGGTTTCCCAGAGATACGGTTCACAGTTAATTGTTGAACTCTAATACAACTGACCATTTAAAACTGAACAACACTCTATTGTTTTGTAACAGTGTCGAGGAAGCCTGACATTTCAATTGAAACGTGGATTGTAGCTATAACTCGATGCGAATTCAACAGTTGTATTTGGAGTTAAATTATTTTAACAAATAAATTTATTTAATGAAAACTGGGCTGTTGGTTGCTTCTACTTGTGAGATGTACTCATTGGGTATAATAGCAGAACACTGCCACATAACGAAATCAAACACGGTTCGTCCAGACCCCTTGACCCAAACTCATCAAGGGTTCATTCCATAAGAAGGGAGGCTGGCCGATACTTTCATGCCCTCTAAAAATAACTCATGGCAGGTTTGAAATCAGCATAAATACCTCCTAAGTATTTTCTTTATTTTAATGATAGCCAGTCAGCTTAAAGCCTGGTGAAGTTCTAGATAATTCACATTACGGGCAGAGGCTTTGCGGTTCTACCAGCACCAGTGCAGGCCTTCAGTGCCCGCCCACCACGCCGGAAGCTGACTTTGTCTTCAGATCATGTGGCCTGAGGTGCCAGAAGCTGGAGGTTGCTGTTCTGTGGGGCTGGAAGGCCAGCTTCCATGTGAGGCCCTGTGAACGTCCACAGACGCTGTGGATTGTGCACAGCCTCAGCTGCGCAGATAAGGCGTCCATTCATGCTCCTGCTGATTTAAAGGCTGCCTGTGGTTGTGTGCTCTTCAGACGCCCGGGCGGCATTCCACCAGTTGAGAAGCTTCATTGTTTCAGAGCATTAAGATTGATTTGAATGAATATAACAGAGGCACTGTAGGCAGAATGTCCGTGTTTCAAGGAAAATGCCTCCATTTTAGTAATCAGTATCTCTGGTTTTGTAGTCTCATTTGAAGTGTTTAGAGGGCATACTTTTATCAAATTCTTGAGAGACTATCTGAGGCCAAGAAGCAATGCTCTGATACCAGTGAGTTTACGCTTACTGTTTCTTTAGGTCCGTGAACAACATGGTAGATGGCTGAAGGAATTGGGAGCCACCCGGTATCAAGTCCTGCTTACTTGTGAGGCCACAGATGTTGTCACAAAGTCCCAAGAGAAGCCCTGGACTCCCTTACTTCTTAAAGTAGCTCGGTGACTGTGTAAATACCAACAAAGCATTTGCTTTTTCATTTGTCACACAAATCACTGAGACAGCCTGCACTTTCCATGATATCTCAGATGCTTGTGCACCTACACTCTACCCCAGTGCATTAAGTATTAGATTTTAGGAGAATTGTGTCTCTCCTGGGTACACTAATGGGTTGTTATACTCTTTCTATAGTTCCCTAAAACAGGCTCTTCTCATTACCTCCTGAAGGTACCTTCAAGACTTGCTAACCCTCAAAAAGATGGAGGGCAGGCTGCTGGACAGATTAAAGACCAAAGGCCTTGTCCGGCATTTGTGCACTAGAAGGGGAACACGGATGATATTTGTGTCCATGCAAAAGCAACCCTCACGCTTCAGAGTTTACTCCGAAGCCAGCTGTGGGCAACTGTGGTCTGGGAGCATTGATTACCTCTAATACGGTAACAGAAACAAGTCAAGGCTTGTTTCACATGTGTTGGGAGCATCAGCTTGGCGGGTTGCAGGAGTAGGAACTGTCTGTCATGGGCCACAGAGACTGACGACATTCCTAGCCTTGGGTTAGTGGAAGCTGGTGTCTATTAGTACATGATGGTTACCTTATAGTTGCAGGGACAGACGTTAGCTCGAGCCCAGAGATGAGCAATGGATGATACCAAGGAGGCAGAAGATAGTGCAGCACATTTTGGGGTTGTACCTTCAACAGCCCAAGCCTCCACACTCGGGAGCCCCGGACCGTCAGCCTCACAGGACCCTCTGTAGTGACGAGGTTTCTGTTCTGGAAGCTCAGGTCACGCGTGGCTTGCTTGGTTTTATTTTTAGTGTGAGACCTTCCTATTTCGAAGATGCAACTGTCTAGGACTTACATGTGCCTCGTGTCTACAATTGTGCAGTGGCTGTGTTTTGTTCCTGACTCGCTTTAACTTGCAGGAAACCAGGTACTGGTGCAAACAGAAGGAAGAAGTTGGCCCAGCTCCCCATTCTAGAAGCAAGCACGTTGGCTTTTTCTGAGCACCAACCATCTTCGCTGTCTGCACACAGATGCAGACAGCACAGAAACAGGATTCACAGCCTGATGTTCTGTTGCGGAGGTCCTTTCCCGCCAACCTGCCGCCCTGGAGCCCCAAATAAGCACACAGATGCTACAGAGACGAGCTTCCTTTTGTTTCTCAGGGTCTCGCTCACATTGTAGCCCAGGTTGGCCTCAGATTCACCCCTGTCCTCCACCTCAGCCTTCTGCATGCCAGGCTTGAACGGGTGAAACCCATCACCTTTGACTAATAAAGCTTCTAAATCACCTCCCCCCCCCCCACCCACTTACCACTGCTTATGGTAAAATTGAATCTGCCCCATGCAGCTTCTGGGTTACTCTGTAAGTCAGGCCTGTGTGGGCCATAGAAACAGAGGCTTGTACACTCATCCAAGTACTTGAAATGTCCCAGTCTCACATGCCCGCCTTTTTCTTAAAGGGCAGATACAAATTAGCCTAGTTGGAAGAAGTAGTGTGTGCCTTCCCTGCACAAGCCTGCTGGGACCTCAGATCATGACTCATGACTACATTAAAATGAAATAAAAATACAGAACAAAACTTGCTCACTCGTACAGTGGCATTCGTCACGTAATATTTTGTTTTTCATAAACATCATAGGCAACAAAGCATTGTTTAGGCTCAAACTTTAGTTCAGGACAATGAGGTTGTCATCCTTGTCTGTCTGTCTTCAAGCTGTGGCCTTGACTGTGGCTGGAAGGAAAAAGACCCGGCAAAAATGTCTGGGCTGCTGACACCAAGCTGGTGAGCCAGGACAGAGGCAGAAATCTTTAAGTCAGGCTTGGAAGTAATCTCTCCTCCTCTGTGGGCCAAAGGGATCCAACTCAGGTTGTTGGGCTTGGTGACAGGAACTTTTTTAGCTCCTGAACCACCCCTCCAGTCCCTAATGTCCCTTTAAACAATAGTGGCTAACAGGGACTTACAGGCTTCCCTCCTGAACAGAACTGTCTTGACATTTTAACACATCCTTGGCTTATGCAAAAAAGTATCCATAAAGGTAAACGAATAGAATCAAACACTGTAGAAACCTAGTCACCCTCTTGTAAAGACAACTGGATGCCTTGGAAACTCTGCCTTGGGAGGTTTCGAAGCAGGGTAAATCCTCCAAGTTTCACAGTTTTGTACCGTAAAGAAAATTCTTGTTCCCTTTGTGAGTTTAGTCGCACCATAGTACTTAGAAGCCGGCCAACCTGCATCCTAGCTGCTCTCCAGCAAAGGTGAAAGCCATTGTTTGCCTTCACACGCCCTTTCTAGATAAAGCTGTTGTCTCTGTTGCCCTTAGCTTGGCTGATTCAGTCGGTGGCTCTGTCCAATATGAAAGCCACTGACTACAGCACCTCACATGGAGCTATTTAAATGTATGGCCACTGAATTGAAGAAAGTATAGTGCCTCTTAGAACTAGCCAAGTTGTAGTTCACATTAGCTACATGTTGAGTGCTGTGTGTCAGCAGAAATATAGGTCATCTCCTTCATCAGTTCTCCAAAAATAAATAAAAATTCTAATAATACTGTAAAATTTTATTTATTCAGAAATAAGGACTAAGAACATAGAAGCCAGTATCGGGCACACTGCTTGTGTGGTCATTAAATGGCCACGTTCATAGGAAGATTGATGCTCTATTTAACATTATAAAATTGCAACTGAAGATGGTTTTCAGTCTTCCAGAAGGGTCAAGCTGTGAATATTTGGTCCAGGTTTTCCAGGAACACGAGAACTTGGCTCAGTGGTCCTCAGGGGAACATGAGGACCTTGAGAGGCATAGTGAGGGGCTCAGAGGTTAGTGTCACCCCAGACAACACAGCACAAGGACCATGGCATGACCAGAGAGAGCAGGAAGACAGATGATGGAGCAGCGAGCAGTCCTCAGCACTGCGGGACTCAGGGTCCTAAACATGCCCAGAGGGGACTCCTGAGACGGTGCCAGACATTCAGCAGAAGCCTGGGAAGAGTCAGGGGTCCCAACATGGCTTTACTTTCTGAAGTAGCTTTAGAATCCCACAGAAACTGGGTGAGAGGATGGAGAGTCCAATGCACCCCCTGGCCCCACACCCACAGCCACAGCGTCCTCCACACCAGTGTCCTGAAGCACACTGAGAGACTGCGCTGGTCAATTATCCCACAGCACGTGTCAGTATCACCCAAATCCAACCTTGACGCTAAGAGCTCACTCCTACCTCGTGTGTAGGTCTAGGTAACTACCCAGTGATGCACATGATGAACTCTACCCATAGATTTCTATCCTCCAAAAATGCTAGTTGCTTGAAGCCCTGGGCAGACTCAACATCACGTTACCTTCATTCAGGAAGGACTACTCAGGACATCAGGGAAAGAGTTGTGAGGATCTCTAGAGTTTCAGGGGGAAACTCCCAGGTCCTGATCAGAGAATGGGGCCAGTGGAGCTTTCATGTCCTGGGCTTGGAGGACTGCTGCTCACCAACTCCAAGAGTGACTTTATTGAGGCTTGCTGTGGGATGCCATAAATTGTGGTGGGAGGTAGAGCTAGCATGTGTGATGGAAAAGAATGGAGTGTGGGATAAATCTAATTAGGAAAAGCCAATTATAATCTTATCTCTGAAGACTGAGATGTTCAGGGAAATGAATTTTAAAGTTAATTAGGCAATAAGTTATTATACCATTTGTTCAAAGTCTTACAAATTTATACGTTTGATTTCAAAGCTACAAGAGCTGTGCCTTTCAGGGAGTTTATAGTTGTTTTTAATGCTGGAAAATAAAACCTGACAGAAGCCCTGAGTCAGAGTGGGAGACCATACTCATTGTACACGCCTGGTGATGGTGTATCTCTCTCTCTCTCTCTCTCTCTCTCTCTCTCACACACACACACACACACACACACACACACACGTCTTCATTAGAGAGGTAGAGAACCCATGTTGAAGGAAACCACATTCAGTTGGAACATGTTTCTTGAAAATGTAATACTAGTTTCTTAAACTTAATCCAATAGCAACCAAAATGTCATTTTTAGGGAATTGATAAAATGATGATATAGT